CAGATGATCCTGGATTTAAAATGTCCACCAGATTTGTTGTTCTACACGTGGAACTTGTCCATATTGTGTTAGATATTGTAACTGACGCTGAAACACGCTGGTGTGCTCATGCATGCGATCAACATCTGAAACTCTTTAACAGAAATGCTTCTGTTCCACCTGAGGCAACATGCCCATGTGTAAAGTGATGCTTATACCATGAGAACAATAAAAACCACAAAGATGAAGAGAAGGTTTGACAGTATCTGATTCCCTGAAAAGACTGAAGTGTGTGTGTGCATGTGTGTGTGTGTGTGTGTGCATGTGTTTGACATCTCACTTTCCACTGAATATAAAGAGGTTATGACTGAGAATTTCCATTTTACAATCAGTCCCTGGCACGGTGCAGCGATGCTCCAGACAAACAGATGATACTGGTTGACAATTTGTAAAAGTGAAGTAAAACAAAAGTGTGCTGTTGGTAAATGTAGACTGAAGAAAAGTCAGTGGTAGGTAGCGCATTGGTTAGTCTTGGTGCAGCAGGTTTTGCTAGCTGACTGGCAAACCCTGGCTGGCCCTCTTGTCTCGGATGGAGCGGAGCATGTCCGACACCAGCTCCTCAAGCCCGAAGGCTGGCGCCCAGCCCCAGTCTCTCCTGGCATTGGTGTCATCAAATCTCACAGGCCAGCTGTCTGCTGCAAAAACCAGAAAGGATGATTTAGTTTTATATTGGTTTATTATCAGTCCAACCAGTGGTTTAAAAACAAAAAGATACCATACCAATGGTCTGGCGGACAGTGTCAGGATTGTAGGTGACCTTGAGGTGAGGGAGATGCTTGCGGATTTCTTGGGCCACCTCTTCAGGGGTGAAGCTCATGGCAGCTATGTTGTAGGTGCGCAGTGACAGCTGGCACTCTGGAGCCTGCATGAACTCTACCGTGGCACGGTGGCAGTCAGAGATATGCATCATGGGAAGACGGGTGTCGGGTCGCAGGTAGCACTCATGGTGACCTGTGCTGAGAGCATCATGGAAGATCTGAACTGCGTAGTCTGTGAAGACAGAGGTCCGGAGCACTTAGTCCATGACGGATGATCTGATATCGTCGTGTTGGTGTTGTTCCCAGATCATCATGAAAATGTTGTTCCAGGTTCAATATTGCAAGTGACCAATCACATTATTGTGACGTTATTCTTTTGCGCACCAACCCATTCGTGCATTTATGAAATTCCAATGTTGCAAGGACAATATCAATTCTGCTTAGCGTTTATTAAAGGGTTAGGGTCCGTTGATCGGCAGACAAAGGCGGTTTCTTGCAGCTTACGTACAGTTTTACGCCGGTTTTTCCCGAAGTCGCAAAAGTATGACATCACAACATTCTGATTGGTCACTTCCAATGTTGATCCTGGAACAACCTTTAGTATGATGATCTGGGAACAACACCAACACGAGGATATCAGATCGTGCGTCCATGACATCCAATGGATTGGAGTACATTTGCACAACACACACAGGTAATACCTGTAGTTCCACCACCAGGAGGTGTGTTAACTGATATCACTCCAGGGTAACGCAGGCAGCGGAAGTCCAAGCCGTATTTATGATGGAGATACTAAAGAAAGAGAAGCTGATTGAAAATGAAATGGAGTCACAGGCGTCTCTGTAAGCACATACAAAAAACATTTTACCTCCCCCATCAGTTCACCATGCACTTTAGACACGCCGTAGATGGTTCGAGGTCTTTGAACACAGAGGTCAGGGGCTGGGTCACGTGGAGAAGAGGGACCAAATGCCCCAATAGTGCTGGGGACAAAGAGGCGCAAACAGTTCTCTAAGGCCAAGTCCAGCACATTATGTAGGCCTGGATGGGCAGAAAAGAAGAGAGCACGAGTTCAACCCTGATTGTTCCTTAAAACCTGGTTATGTGTAAAGGATGCGCACGTTCAAGCAGACCTGTGATGTTGATCTTTCGTGCCAAAGCCACATTAGCCTCGCCCACAGCACTAAGCAGAGCGCTGTAGTGGACCAGCCAAGTGACGCGATTGTTTACAATAAGTTCTCGGAGGTGTTTGTAGTCCAAAACATCGGCGTATACAAACGGGCCTAAAAACAACAGAAAAAAAAGTAAAGTAATCGGTAACTTTTAAAGTAATACGCACGCATACTTGAATTCGATTTTACGTACCATTGGCGTAAACGTGAGGTGGAGGCTTCTTGATGTCTGACAGGATTACATTGTCCCTTCCATACTGTTTTCTAGACATTAACAAAAATATGATGACATTTAAACTTCAAACCTTTTAGCAAGTTTCAAGATCTCAGGAATTTCTACAATCTTACCTCAGCATCTGTGCAAGTCCCACACCTAACTGCCCAAGCCCTCCTGCAGACAAAGGCAGGCGTTAGCTTTCTACCTGTGCACACAGATAATCTGTATTTGTGGAAACTGGTAAATCGATAAAAGTCAAATCCATGTTGTTGGTTTTCACTTTCAGATGAATAAAGCTTTGTGTTTGTTGATCCTAGGACAAAAAGGCTATTATTCTCCCCACAGTCACTCATTGGCCCTTTTATTTCACTAGCACTGTCTGTACACACTCTATTGTGCTGGATCAAAATAGGCTCCCGCTGTTGGAGCAAAGTGAACACAACTCAAAAAGCCCTGCAGCACATGTTTGTAGCATTTCACACTGATACTCCAGTAAAACTAATTCTTCATTATCACATTTCTACACTTGATTCGATCTGAAACTGGGGCTCTGCTCATAAATGATCCGACTCATTCTCTCTCGCAACAATTCAGAACAGAGGCAGCGCAGTGAAAGTGGTAGAAAACAATAGCAGCTTCCCAGGCTCAGTGTTTGGGCAACTGTGGAAAAGTCCTTTCCTGAATACATCAACGTCACACGCAAGCAACTATTGTGCGTTAATGATGGATGGAAATTTGCATCACCTGTGATGAGCACGCGCACGTTTTCCTGAGGAGATGGGGGGCTGGTGTCCTGGCTGTTCCACCTGCTCATCTGCCCAGAGGTGGAACTGAAGCTGCGGCCGGGCCAGCTCCGCGACCTGCTGAGACAGCCTCGGCAAAACAGGTCCAGCACCGCCGCAGAGGGCACACAGACCCGCACACCCGGTTTCATGTCCAGGAGCAGTCCTTGACAAAGTTACACCAAACTTAAGCAGAGCAAATATATTACACCAAACCCTTTAAAATCTTTTGGGCACAAACAAGATGTTTCGAAATGTTTTTAAAAAGGGGGAAATGTATTACCTGTGTCCTTATGATTTAGAAAAAGAATCCCAGGCAGATGATTCTTGTTCCACAAGCAGCTGATGTAACAGTGAATTCACAACTAGTCCACTAAACTAAACTATAAAATAAGAGCTGATAAGACAGCATTTAGGGGTGAGAATCAAAAAGATTACCAGCCCATTGGTCACCGTTTCAGTTCACCCAGTCAAGCTGGATAAATAAGCAGGTGCGTTAAGTCATGCTGGGCTATGTGGTTCTTCTCCACTTTGTGTAATCACCAGGGCTTGTGGCTCCTGACTGAGCAGGACTACAGTCTCCGGCGTGCAAAGCAACGTGTGTGCAAACATGCTGACTTGCTGTGCACAGGGATTTGCATTGTGAAGGGTGTTTAGCTGAGCTTAACAGGACTGGGAGGTGTGTCTGTTATACAGCCGACTGCTATTCATAATATTTATGAGTGAATACATATTATGAAATCGTTATCCCTTTGCAATTATGCTAAACGCTGGAAAAATAACAAAGCTTTGGCAGGTTTTGTCCTCTGTATTTAACAGCTCCAGAGTTCTGATGGAATCACTTGGACATGTTGGTGAAATATCCTGTTCATAGTGATGCATGGGGAGCTGTAAAGGTTCTCCTGCTTCAGTCTAGTAAATGTAAATCTATAGTCATAAGCAGTTTTGGTCAGGTTACTTGAAAAAAGTAATCAGTAACTAATGACTGATTACTTCCCCAAAAAAGTAATCCCGTTACTT